GTGCTGGGGCCCAGCCGGGGTCTGCAGAGGGCCTGTCTGCTGCTGCTGGCTGCGGGCAGCAACCCCGTGCCCTGGATGGAGAGCCTTGGCCAGGCGGCCTGATGAAGAGGACTGCGACACGGGCGGCGGGTGGAGCGGATCTGAGCCAGGACGTGGCCACTGGTGGCCCTGGGGCTGGTCGGTCGGGAGTGAGGTTTGCCAGACTGTTTGCACCCTCGCTGGAGAGTCACACCTGGCTGCTGCCCAGCGACCAGACAGGAGATGTGCTGGCTGGCGGGGGATGCCATCCCTCCCAGGCTTGTCCGCCCGCCTCTGAACCCAGGCCAAGCCGCCATGCCAGTGGGCAAGAGCTGGCCCTGGGGGCCCCCAGTGCGCCTGGCTCCACGCCTGCCTGTGATTGGGACTCCAGGATCAGGGCTGGCGAGGAACGGGAGGCTGTGGCTGGCAACCCCATCCACCCCGGCAGGGGCCAGAGACTTCTCTGCACTGGGCTACTCTGCTGTGCCTGGCCGGGGCGGGAGGGGCACCAGAGGGCTGCAGGCAATGGCTAGGTCGGAGCAGCAAGATTGGCGACTGGCATCCAGGGAGCTGGCCAGGAGGGCCGAGTCGGACCTGCAAGGGGAGGACTCCTTCGATGTTCTCGCGCCTTGTTAAAAGCCTTTATTAAGTGCCCATCTGGGAAAACTCCTGTGTGCTGAGGCCGCGGGGTTAGCTGCTCCGTCCCCCGCACGGGGAAGGAAACCGGGACAGAGGACAGCCACGCGCGGGCACCAGGGAACGTGACCAAGCTGAGGCCTCCTGTCTCTCGGGAGTGACACAGCTGGGGCTCCCGCCCCATCGCGGTGGGACAAGCAAGACCCAGCACCCTGGTTCCTGGGAACCCCCGCCGGGGCGCCGCCTTTCAGGCCTAATTACCAAGCTCGCTGTCTCATCAGCTGGCAGGCAGCGTGCGGGTAAGAAGGGCAATTTCATTGTCTGGCAGCGTTAGCACACCCTGGCAACTTGTTAGCTAAATTGGTCGTATCCGCCCTGGCTCCTGGAGAGGCTGTGTCTCTCTCAAGGACAGTTCTCTCTGCTCCTTCTTCTCTGATTCTGGGGGGCTGCTGGCAGCCCCCATTCTGAGAAAAGCTGGGTGTCTGGGGCCAGGCTGCAGCCCGCCGGTGCTCACTCGGCCGCTGCACATTGTGGGCCACGGCGCGGTCGACTCAGAGGCTGGGATGGCAGGTGTGGTCCCAGATCCAGACCAGCCCCCCCCACCCCCACCCAGGCACCAGGAGCTTGTGGGTGGGGTCATGCTTGGGCAGGGAGAGCTGCCCTGTGTGTTGTGGGGGGTCACTGCAGCCCTGACAGTCCATTGTAACAACCAAAAATACCTGTTGCAAGTGCCCTCTGTGCAGGTGAGGGACAGTCATCCTCAGTTGAGAAACTACAGGTGTAGAGACAGATGCATACAGAAGTCGTGAAAATGTGCCACTGTGGAGGTTAAGCTGTGCACCCCGTGCTGTGGGTTGGAGCGGCACTGGCCCGGGAGAGGCGGGTGGGGAAGAGTCAGCCGGGGTCGCAGGAGCAGAGACGGGAAAAGGCCGAGTGTTTGGGCAGGAGGCCGCACAGCCAAGCACTTCCACCGTATTTCCACAGCACTCCCCTGTGGCCATAACACTCCCTGTGTGCCTGGTTGGATGACAAAAAGGACTTTGTGTTCTGTGTTCTTTGTTTTTTAAAGATTTATTTATGTATGCATACAAAACTGGGTCACAGGCCAGAGGTGCAGGGGCCGTGAGAGGACTCCCCAGAGACAGAGCGGGGAGCA